CTCCCTCGCCCCAGCGCGGCCGCACGCCCCGCAGCCCCTGCCGCCGGAGCCCCCCACCCAGGCCCGTGGCATGGCCGGTGCTGCTGCGGCACCCCGGGCGCAGGGGCCCCCCCGGCAGCCCACTGAGGAGCCGGTGGCCAGGGCCAGGTCAGCCAAGGGCGAGCCCAGCAAGAGGCAGGGGTCCGGCCCCTGCGGTGCCCCTCAGGCCTGGGAGTAGGCGTCGAGAGGGCGGCATGGCTGGACCGGCCGGGAAGGCCTGAGCCCGGCAGCACCGGGGTGGGCGCCGGCCGAGGTTGCTTTCCCCCTGCCCCTGAGGGCAGCAGAAAGCGGATGCCCTGGTCGTGTCTCCTGCCTGCAGGCAGCCAGGGAGGATCCCCCTTGCCCGAAGGGTCTGAGCCGGGGGGGCCGCCGGCAGCACTGCGGGGCAGGCGGGCGACCCAGCACGGGGTCTGCGAGGGGAAACAGCTGAGCGCCTGTCCAGAGCTTCCAAGGAAAGAAAGAGAGAGAGAAGGAAAGAGAGAAAAAGAAAGAAAATTAGCATTTCTGCGATGAGAAGATCTTCCTGCTGCTGCTGCCCCTTGGAGCGGACGCTGGGTGTGTTTTCCCCAGCCAGGGAAGGTCCTGAAGGACAGTCGGTCCCATGGGTGCAGGAGGGATCCCCCCCTCCACAGGGACGGTGCAGCCGTGCCAGCCAGGTGCCAGACCCTCTCTCCCCTGCGCGGTGATTTGGCCGTCTCTAACACAGATTTCCCCCACGTTACATTTACACGTAGGACTTGGACAAGGCGGCTCGCCGTGAGCTGCGAGCACCAGCCCTGCTGGATGCCCCGCGCGGCTCCTCGCCTGCCGCAGCCTTGCTCCACGTGCCACTGGAGCAGGGCTGCGACTTGCACCCCCCGTGCCGGGCAGGTCTTGTCTCGGCACCAGCATTTTGGTTCTCGGTCACATCCGCAGCCAGGTCTGGGTTTCCCGCAGACGACTGAGCAGCCACCTCAGGAGTGCGCTGCTGACAGCGAGCCATGGTGCACCACAATACGCAGAAACCCTGCTGGGGCCAAACCAGGCCCCAGGCTCAGCTTCCACGAGGAGCAGAGGCTGGAAAAGCCACTTTGCCTGTGTCCCTTGCTGCGTCCCCCAGGGCCAAGCTGCTGCGGGGCCCTCCAGTCCTCGCCCGCCGCCTCCCAGTCCCTCCCAGCGCAGCGGCTGTACAGCATGCAGCCTTCGCCCCGCTGGGGCAGCCTTACCCGGTCTCCAAACCAAACCGGCGGCTTTATACATCCATTCCCTGGATGTTCTGAAACAACAGAAACAGGGAGAGGAGAGAACAACGCCAGCAGCTGGGCAGGGCGAAGGTCTCGCTGCTCGGGCACCAGCAGGAGCTGCGCTGCTCCGGGCAATACAGAGGGGCAGGTTTTGCCCCAGTGGTTTGGCTGCCAGCCCTGGCCGGCCTGGCCGCGCAGGCTTGCTGGGAAGGCGATGCCTGGCTGGGAGCCCCGGCCCCTGCCCGCAGCCAGCGCCTTGCCTGGTTGCCTCCCGCGGGACCCCCGCTGCCTCCGCGGCTGGCGTGGGCAGGGGGAAGCCGCGGGCTGCAATCGGGCCCCATTTCTTTCCAATTCAGTTTGAAACCTCTTCAAAAACATCGCCCTCGTAGACCAGTCAGGCTTAGCCTGCCCAAGCTCACCTGCAGCGTGCCCATGCAGTCAGAGGTGTCTATTTTTGTAGTTCAATATTTATATACTATATTAAAATGCTTTTACGAGATTCTCAGCAACAGTTCCTAGGCCAGCTCTTTGGTAAACAAACCCCTAAGCATATGAGCTGCACTAGCAGGACAGAAATTAGCAGCTTTTGTAGCTTTTATTTGGCTGTGATGTGAATAGTCAGGCTTCGGAGGACAAGACCCGTCATGCTCCCCCCGGGGCACCCTCGAGGGCTGGGACCCCCAACTCCTCAGCTGCTATCACGGCCTCTAACACACCCCTCAGTTTGGGAAGAAGCCCAGCAAAGCTGTGCCTGGGCAGATCCCCCCTAGCAGGAGCGGTCACCCTGACTGAAGCCCTGCAGAGGTGTGGGGATGAAGGCAAAGCCCTAAGGGGAAATTCTCGCAGCCCCTGACACATCTGGAGCCACTGCCTCGGAGCCAGAGCCCAGCAGAGCCCCCACCGGCTCCCCAGCCGTCACCTCCCGCAGAAGGCTGCAAAGAGCCTGGGCAGGGCACTCGCATGCCCCGGCTGCAAAGCATCGCATGCCCAAACTGCCTTCCCAGGGCAAGCGGGGGCGCAGGGGCAGCATGGGGTGCATTGCTAACACCCAGTTGGGGTTTGAGCACCTGGGTACAGTTGCACGAGGGAGAAAAGCCCTGAGTCTGGCTCTCAGGAAGGCTGCAAAGTGATTTAGGGTGGGCTCTGCCCATGCCCCAGCTCCAGGGAGAGCTGGGGCGCTTGGGGCCCTGCTGCTGCCCGCCCGGCGGCGGCAGAGCGGGGCAGCAAGGGGCAGTTTGTGCTGCATTGCACAGGCAGCACCCGGCGTGCAGCATCGTGGCCACCCGGTTCCTGGTGGCATCACGCAGGTGAGGTGCCATTGGGCCCTTGGAAATCGCTGTTTCTCTCAGGTTCAGAGAGGTTCTGCTGAGGATTCGGCTCTATTCTCTTTTAACGTGAAAGAGGGTAATACATGTCTCTGCACTGTTTGGCTGTTCCTTTAGCTGTGGTGTGCACAGCTGCTTTCCTCTCTCCTTCCTAGACAATCCTGGTAAACAGAGTGTGTTGCATTTTTATTATAAAATCCTTGATAAGATCATGGTGTTCATGACCGACCTGAGCATTGAAAAGGGGAGGGAGAGGTATGGTCCTTCCTCTGTGTAAATACCTTCCTAGCAACCATCATTTTTAGTGCCTAGTATGTAAATGAAGCAGCCCTGTCTGAGCTGCAGGATCCTTCCCTCTTCACCACTAATTAGCAGCTTGCTCAAGGAGTCGATCTCATTTCCAGTCCCCCGATTGCTTGTCCCTCCTCCTGGTGCTTGCGGGCAGCTGGGCAGGCCCTGAGCCCCGCAGCCCTTGGATGTGCAGGCAGAGCTGCCTACAGCGGGGGGGGGGCTGTTTCCCGAAGGGATGGGGAGGGAGCACCCCGGTTCCCCCCTTCACGCCAATGTAATGTGCTTGGAAATGAGTTGTCGGGGCGAGCCCCGCGCTCTTCCCTGGGCAGCCTTGCCTCGGAGCGGGAAGGATCAGCTCCTGTGTGCTGTACCTGCTTCAGTCACTGCTGCTTTTCTTGGGGGGAGGGAAGCTCTAGAGATACTATATATACACTTATATATATATATACATACACGCACTTGTTTTGAAGGGAAAACACTGTATGATTGTAATAGAAATGATGTTGAGATAAATTATTTTAATCTTTGTATTTATATAAAACGATCAAAGAGATCCAAATGATCAAAAAAAAAAAAAAAAAGAACAAAGAGACGGCGTTCCTATTTTTTAATGAGTAGGCCGCTGTTAGCCACAGCGAGCCCAGGGAGCAGCAGGAGCCCGGGCAGTGCCTGCCCTCCTCTCCCCGGGCGAGGGGCTCTTACAGACCCCCTGCTCTCGGGCCGTGAGTTAGCCCTTAGCCCGAAAGGTGTAACAAGGATCTGTAGGTGCATTTAGTCAGTGCTGCTGGAGTCCTTGGGAGTCCAAAGGGCGCACGCAGCTTCGACCTGTGCCGTGTACCTGATATGTGTAGATCAAGGAGTGTAACCGCTGACACCTCCGTGCTTTGTATGGAACAAGCGATGTTTAATGTTGACTCGTAAAGCTTAATGATTAGACTGGAAATGGATGCATAGCAATAATGCTCGGTTGTTAAACAATGTCTTATGTGCATAAACCACAACGTGCTGAGAGCTTTCTGCGTACAGACTAACAGCCGGGCACCTCTCCTCTGCACCCCTCCTTTCTTTCTGCAGCTCTGCAGAGGCTCATGGATTTGATGTGTTGGGTTTGCTAATCTCTCTTTTCCTTATTATTATTTTTCCTAATGCTCTCTGAGAAAGTGATGTCTCAAATTGTGCAACCTTGCAGCAGGCGCAGGGCGAGCGGCGGGTGGGGAGGAGATGCGCCCGCTCCACTCGCTGCGACTGCGCCCGTGCCAGAGCCGGCAGCACCGAGAGGCAGAGCCAGTCCCAGTGACTCGGTGCATGCTCCCCTGGACTTATTTTAGCCCTGGGCAGACCAATCGGGAAGTTCTCCCTCTTGACCCTGTTAATTAAAAAGCCATATTTTCTGAATGTGTTTGCTGGGGCTAATATAAGTGCTCCTGGCGGCATCTTTCCCATCCCCGCAGTGAGGGTGCCATTGCGAAGGCCTGGATAGCACAGCCACTCCCAAAAATCCCCTCGGGAGACTGCACGGTCTTCCCCGCTGCTGCATGGCACTGCGCAGAGACCTGTCCGTGGCGGGGCCTAATCCTGCTGCCTTGGGGAAGCTTTGCCCGAGGCAGAGCCCAAGGCTTTCTATAAATGGCCTTACTGCAAGCGAAGTTAGGCGCAGGGCAGAGCTGATGGGTGCTGCACGGGGGCAGCTGCCCTGGAGGGGCTGAGGGGTGGTCTCTCCTGCATGCCCAGGAAAGCTGGCAGCAATGCAGCAAGAAACGTCCTGCCTGAAGCGGCTGGAGAGCCGGAGCCAGCAGTGGTCAGGGATTGCTCTGCTCCACACAGCACCTCTGTGCTTGAGTTCCCCAAAATAAGCTCCCAGGAGGCAGAGGAGCGGCAGCAGCGCAGCGCTGCCCGGCTAGCTCTCCCCACCGGGAAGGTAAATCAGCAGCATACCAATGGACTTTCATTCTTGGGACCTAGGTGAACATTTCGGGGTCCTTGTGCGCAGCCTTGTGCACTGGCTACTGCTGCCCCGGTGAAGCTGCGGCATGCTGCCCTTCCCCGGGAACAGCAGCCCTCGCTTCCCAGTCTCGCTGTAGTGACGCCGCAGCCGCCTCTGTGCACGTCTGTTCTTGTCACCCTCTTGCGCTGTCGGCGCCTGGCTGCCAAGTCCAACAGCGAATACGAAGGAGGGGAGAGAAAACTCCCTTACACCCGTAGGTTGCCTCACGCTGTGGATAAGATCAGTAGTGCCAGTGTGCCGGGGCTGGGTGAGCAAGAGAAACCTGGGATCAACCAGCACAGCCGCCGCGTAGGATCCCGCCAGACGACGCGGCCTGTAAAAGCACGGAGATAAA